AGAAGAAAAAAAAAAAAAAAAAAAAAAACCAAAAAACCCAGTTGTCAAAAACTTCTCTCAGCATTTTGGCCCCCACAGTCCCTAAAATCTCTCATTCGTTTCATCCCGTCTTAGACCTTGCTCCTGCCTCCTTTATCCTACTGAATCCTGCCAACGTCCCTGCCCCTTTTGCCTTCCAAAGGCCTCCCCTGAGCTCTGCTACCCGGGGGGACGTTCCAGACTTGGTACCTGTTGTGTACCAAGTTGTGTGTGCCCCACTGGGAGGAGGGCTGGAGAAGCCCTTCCGGCCTGAGCCCATTCAAAGATGAGAGGGGAAGAGGCAAGAACAGTAAGAATGGAAACCAACACAGTGTTATGACAACAATGTAGTAACAGGGGCAGCCCCCAGGAGGTGAGGGCCTGCTGCTCCCACAGTCTGGGGAGGCGGTGCATCTGACCACCCCATTTGGAACCTCATAACCCTCACTTCATAGGTGAGGGAGCTGGTGTGGAGCTGAGAGGTCCCCTGCCCTGGTCACCTGTCCCACCCAAGTGGGGGAGCTGGGAACCAGACACAGTTACAGCCCGTCCCCCACTCCACATTTCCTTGTCCCGGCCGTGGATGTCCCGGGAAGGATACAGGAAGAGAGGGTGGGGCATCCCTGTGCGGCAAACCACGGCTAGGCCTGGATTTATGACGCAGCCAAACATGCTGCTTGCTCTGAACTTACAGCGTGGATACAATCAGACAATCAATCATACCTTCAGAAAATCTGGAAGGTACCTCAGCTGTACATACCCTTGCCCTGAACCTGAATCTAGGAAGTCAAGGCTGGGAACAGAATTCTTTTCATGATCCCCAGGAAGCCAAAGGACAAGAAGGAGCACTCTGCCTAGGAGGCAGGCCCTTTTCCTGGCTTGGATTTAGGGACCTTTGGGAGTCCCTTAACTTTTAACGTTTCATTCATAAAATGAGGAATGCGAATGCATGGGTCTCAAAGGTCCCTCTATTTCCTCAGGGGTCTTGAGCTACTCTGAGAACCTGTTTATAAGGTGTTGATAAACTCAGGACGGCTGACCTCCGGGCTCCCCTGTACCTCGAGACTCCCTCGCACACAGGACCTCGCGTGTGCCCCTCAGGGTTCCAAGGGGCTGTGAGGCGCTGGTCACTGTCTCTGGGCATGTCCACACAGCATCTCCAGCCACCTCTACTCGTCACCGTTTCTTTTTGTCACAAATCCTTGTCTTAATGTTTATTCAGAGGTAGCACTCACTGCTTAATCCTTCGGAGTTAAACTGAAAAATAATTCAGTTTTGTAAGTTGGGTTTAAAAAGTGATATATCTTATGGCCCTCTACCTTCCATCTTAGCTGAGAATAAACTCAGTAGAGGGCAGGGCCACGAGGGAGGGAGATGTTCTCGCTTAGCGGCAGTCACCACCCTCTCCACTGATTGGGGTGGCAGAAGAGGAAAACGACTCTTTTGGATGTTAACATACTGTGCGTTACATTAGATGCTTTTATGTGCATCACAAAAAATACACCCAACCTTTCACGATACTACCTTTTGTTCAGGTACAGAAGTAGAAGTTTAGGAGGTTAAACAACTAAACCAAAGGCTCCACAGAACTTGGGAGCTGAGGGCGAAGCCTGGTTCGGCTGTGTTGCTTTGCTTCCACCCCAGATATTTCTTCTTCATGCGGTGGGCACAAAGTGAGGAGTCCATGTCTCTGCTGGGGACCCATGGAAACCCCCACCCAGTTAACTTTTTAATGCAGAAAAAAGCCTGAATATAACAGTAATGAATAGATTAAAAAGACAGCCTATATCTTTATATCAACACAGCCATAAAGCACAATTTTTATTCCTTTTTTTTTGTTTTTTGAGACAGGGTCTCTCTATGTAGTTGAGACTGACCTGGAACTATGTAGTCCAGGCTGGTCTTGAACACAGCGATCCTCCTGCCTCAGTCTCCCCAGGGCTGGGATTACAGGCGTGTGCCACCACGCCCAGCCAATTTTTATTCTTCATGGAAGAAAGGACCCTCAAGGCAAAAGTGCTCAGGCCACACAAAGCCACAGTGTGTCTCTTGCACAGCCTTGGCTTTCAGCAGGTTTCTCTCAGGCTCAGGCCAGTCACTCTAGGGCAGTGCTGCGAACCTTGCAGAGCTGCCAATGAATGAACAGACGACTATAGCACGCGTGCCATAGGTTCGCCACCACTGCTCTAGGGAAACGCCCTGGAATACAGAACACAAAACCCATTCATTTCAAAAGATGCCGGGCCATCCCATCTTTTCTCCGCCTAGTTGGGATGCAGATTTGACATCAGGCAAGTGGCCTTTGCCACTTGTTCTGCTGGCTGAATTTTGGGGGAAATGCGCTGGCGGGAAGATGGGCTACTGGGGGTTGTCCGCACAGATAGGGTCACCTGAAATCTGAGACAAACGAATCAGGTATACAGGGGATCCACACTGCCCTAGAGACACAGAGAAGTTGACATTCATTTGCTTACGACTCACATAGAGACACTTGCACGGGCAGCTGGGCTTAATGGAGCTCTTCTGCCAGGAGCAGGAGTCATCGAGGGAAAAAGTTTTGAGTTTTGTTTTTTTTTTTAATTTTAAATTTAATTTATTGGTACATTCTAGGTAGACAGTACAGTTACATTCATTATTGGGATCTTGTACCTCTACATGACAGGTCTTGCTTCTCATTTTTTTCCCTTGTCCCCACCCTCCCTTCACCCCCTTCTCCCCTCCCCACCTTCAAACACTTTAATTCCATTTTTACATTTTCTCATATTTTTTTTCCTTTTCCCTATTCCCCTTTCCCTCTCCTTCTCACCAGTTTTGAGGTTTTAAGGGAGAAAAAGGGATCATCCCGTCAAGGTGTCATCTCCCAACCTGAGGCTGGAAGCCGGCTGCAGGCCAGCTGCTCTGGGCAGGGTTCCCACTTACCTGAAAGACGACTCTTGAGCTTCATTTTACTGTTGCCCTGTTTGGGGCTTGGCAGGTTCCCCTTGGAACCCTCAGGGCCGCACACGTCTTGGGGCTCGTTGGTCCCGGGCATCTGCAAGGCAGAGCACAGAGCTGACCGGACAGTTTTGTCCCATGATACGTGTCGCTGCCCCTCTAGGAAGTTATCTCAGGGAGGCCCAGGGAGCAGGAGTTCAGGTGTCACATGAGAGAAGGTTCCCAGACCAAAGCACAGCCTTCAGGTCACCTGCAGCCAGATGGCAGCTGGCTGCCAATCCACACACATCTCCCCACCCAGCAAAGGACCTGGAAAGGGCCTCAGGCAGTGGTGTCTTTACTTTAGAAGCATCTTGTCATTAATGTCACCCAGGGGAGTCAGGGCTTTTCTAAATTCAACCTGCAACAAATATTAAATCAGAAATTTAAACCCAATTAGAAGGTTCCTAAAATAGAGTCAAACTGATTGTGTGGCAGTCAAACAGCTACAGGCATGCGTTACTTGCCAATGGGGATCTGTTCTGAGAAATGTGGTGTTGGGGGACTTTGTCACACACTGTGCAAATGGCACAGAGTGTACAAACCTAGATGACGTGATGTATGTCACGTGAGAGCATGGTCTTCAGATAACAATTAAGAGGCATGGCACTATAATCCTGCAGCACTAGGGAGGCTGAGGCAGGAGGATCACCATGAGCTTGAGCCCAGCCTGGGTTATACAGTGAGGTCCAGGCCAGCCTGAACTACATAGTGAGACTCTGTCTCAAAATCTGGGAGGGAGGGAGGGAGAGAGGGAGGGGGAGGGAAGGAGGTGTGGGGAGAGAGGGAGGGAGAAGTATGGTAAGCACAAGCCTAGGTGGTTGCTGCTGGCATAGCTGGGCATATTTTTAAACAGCAAATATTTTTTTTTTTAGTAAGTACAAAGAGTACAATATAAAATAATGACAAAAAGTGCAATATAAATACATAAACCAGTAACAATTTATGTCAGTATAGTGTACTGTATACGAGTGTATGTACCTTTCTTATTACCACGTTTGTAATACAGAATAGCAATGTTAGTTTTAGGGGCTTGGTACCATGCATACCACACATCTTGATCATTTTCAATCCCTTCACCCTCCTGTGCCATATTTTTATAGAACTCATGGCACCGTTTTTGTACACCAGCATCACCACACACCCATGAGCAATGCACACAGCACTATGGAATTTTTCAGCTGTTATAACCTGATGAGGCCACTGCTGTGTGTGTAGTTTGTCACTGACCAAACATTACTGTGTGTCACATGATGGTTTCCCCTCAGTCCAACACATGTTCCATGTACTGACTAAGCACTGATTAATCACCTCCCCGAATCAAGGACCTCTGGGTTACATAGTGCAGCCAAGAAGTGATGCAGAATGGTTAATCCCAAGGCTCCTTTAGCCTAAAAAAGTCACACAAGCAAAAAACTAGTTATTAGATTAGAAAAGGAGATGTGCATTTGAGGGTTTATTAAAAAACTATCTGGGGGATAAATTTACATGTACTAGATTTAAGAGATGTATCCAACAATTAAATGTTTTATTTGAAAATTTATTTTCCTTTTAAGTTCTGGAGGATAAAAAGTACCTTATATTAAAAAATATAAAATTCCTCTGGATGTGGTGGTACATTTGACAGGCTGAGTCAGGAAGACTCAAAAGTTTGAATCTAGCCTGGGCAACTTAACATCCTAGACCCCATCTCAAAATGAAAAATAAAAAGGGATGGAGATGTAGCTCAGTGTGAAAACCCTGGGTTGAATTCTCAGTACCAGGGAAAAAAGCCAAAATATAAGATTCATGCTAAGGAACACATATAAACTTAAAAAAAAAACACATGTAAGGTATGTTTTGATGCATACTAGTCATCTAAAAATTTTAGTCATAATGTGGAAAACCCCACCTGATTTTAATAAAATTACATATTATATATTAAACTCAGTGCGTAAAATTGAATAAAATAAGCAGTTGGAGTAATCTCCCATGTAACTTCCCTTTTCTGAGGTAATTATCTATATATAAATTTTATATTTAATATATAAGGTTGGGAAGATTCCAGCTCCTTCTTTAAGCTCAAGTATCTTTGTAGATAAGGAGGAGGAATAAAAGGTCAGAGATTGAGGTGATATAGGCAAAGTTGAGGAGAAGGCATTGAGAAAGCAAATTAATCCCGACACAGAAACCAAAGATAATAAGTTTGCCTTATTCATATTACAATGGCGCGACTGGCAGGTGTCCAGGTTAAGTTATGAAGAACAAGCGAAAACAGAAACCTGAGGATTGTTTTAGAGATTCTTTACAGAGATGTCTGCCCAGACTCCAAATCCTGACAGTGAAAAAGAACCAGCTTTGAGAGGGGCCGGAGATCTGAGCCACATGCAGCGAGGTGACATACAAACAGGAGAGATCCAGAGAGAACGCTCAGGGAAAGACTGTTTGAAAGAACTTGTCTAGACCGCAGACAGCAATCACTGGAGACTGAGTCAAGACCTTCTCCCGTTGAACCACCTGGCCCAGGCTGTTCACTTTCAGGGAAGGCAGCCTCAGCTTACAACAGCAAGCCACTCCCTCCTTTGGTGCCTCAGAGAGTGGTTTATTGCACAGGGACCTGACACAGTGCCTTATTACAACTGTCTGTGATGCTCTTGAGGAAAGGGAATCAGCCCAGTCTGTGTTTCCGAACTTGGGATGTGGCCCCCTCTTCACTTTCCCTTCTATTTCCCCTCACAGAACCTCAGGTTTTCACAAAACTGGAGGAATTCTGTGACAAGTATTTACAGGAGTACCCGAGAAAGAGAGTGGCTTGCCTGGGACATTTCGGCTCATTACAGACAAGGCTACAACTTGATTCTCCCTGTCCTGACTTCATGCTCTAAGGGTTACTGGAATATACCCCTACCATCCGAAGGTGCTTTGTAATCAAATGATATGGACAGTCAATACTGAGCAAGTATTTTTCCTACTTCATTTTCTCGGCAAATATATACAGTGGTACCTTGATTCACGGACTTAGCTTGTTCTGCAATTTTAGAAAAGATGGCCATGCTTCTGTTTATGTGGGAAAGATGGCTCTGGTCATGGTTGTTACCTGTTGTAGAGTTTGCAAACAAAAATAAAATTCTGCCAAATTGCTTCTCTTTGTGAACCAAACTGTTCACAAACAAGAGTTTGCAAACCGAGGTAGCACCGTATAGCAAGGTAAATAATATCTCTACGTGACAGATAAGAAAATAAAACTGAGACTCTTATATAACATTTTCTTGTTTATAACTCAGATCAGGGATCTAGGCTAGATAGTGTGTGAAGAAAGTACTAATATACAATGAGTGGTGTTGAGTTATAAAAGAGCTTACACGCACTGTGTCAAATCTGAAATCCATGAGGTATAAACAAAAGTGCTGTAAACTCATTTTTTGGTACCAGGGATCAAACTCAGGCCCTTGTGCTTGCAAGGCAGGCAGCGGAACCACTGAGCCAAATCCCTGGCCCTGTAAACACTATTTTCAGAAGCTGGGGGAGGTGGTTTAAAAGGCTTAAAGAAACAAATTTTTTTCTTAATCCCCTAAAGCATCAGACAATGAAATGAGATTTAATTTCCATGATCTACAAAATGCCAGTAAGATTTCTAATGCCAAAGAAATTTTATGATAAAGACAGCATTATGTTGTTTTGTTACCCTGTGGCTAGAAACAGAGAGGCCCTGAAGATACCTCAGAGTACTTGCAAAGGGTGCAGTGCTGAGCTCAAGGCTGGAGCGAAATCTTACTTCAGGACTTCAGGAGCTAGGGTTCTTTGCTATGCCAACATGGGAGTCAGAGGGACAGGGGAATGTGAGGGAGCAAGAGGAAGAGGCCAGACTTGCTTCTATAATAAGCCCCTGATTGCAACGGCATTCAATCATTCCCAAGGGCTCCGACACCATATGCCACATCCCCCAACAGTGTTGCACTGGGAAGTTAAGTTTCCAACACATGAAGTTATTCAAACCATAGGATTCTGAATTTAAATGGGAGTTTCCTCCTGTAACAGAAAGCTGGTTTGCTATGATGTTAGGTGGCTTGTAACTTAGGGAACAGGAAGTGGGATACTTAGAAACATTAGTTCCAGGTTACAGCAGGAAATATCACAAAGTATGACTTTGATTACAGTGAGCCTTTCTTTAGTTTTATGCTATTGTCTGAGAATGTCAACACTTTCAGAATTCCTTTTTTTTGGTATATATTTTCCTCCATGCACAGAACAAATTGTTCTGAAAAAGTCATTTTACGTGTTCTAAAGTGAAATTTGCAGAAAGTTCTCCTTGAAGGCCTTCAGTTCAGCAAAAGCAATTGATATGATCTATTATGTATGGGCAATTCCTAAATTGTGTGCTATAAAAACAGTACCATGAGGACTGGGGACTTAGCCAGTGGTGCCACCGCCTTCCTCACAAGCACAAGGTCCCGAGTTCTATCCCTGGTACCAAAACAAAACAAACAACAACAACAAAACAAAAAACAGTACCATTATATTCTTGGAATCAATAGAATTTACACTTTCCATGTTTGAGCCCCTTGCTGCATCTTGCTGGACCTGTAACCTACAAAATTCTCTCTCAGTGAAGCAGCGTCCAAAGGAGATATGGGACTATGCTCAATTCCCCCGGTTCTTCCAAACCTTCCCAGAGGTTACTCCAGAGAAGAATGGGCAAATTGACGTTTCCTGGCTTCCGATGGGAGATAGCTCACCAAGCAAAATAGGAGAGACTTCTTACCACCATGCTGTTCTCATTTAGTATGTGCTTTTTTTTTTTTTTGGTACCAGGGATCGAGCTTGGGTCCTTGTGCTTGCCAGGCAGGCGGCGGAACCACTGAGCTAAATCCCTGGCCCAGTATGTGCTTATTTTAACTACCAATTATGGAAGCATGCTGCACTCAATGTATGAACGCTAAGCACATGAGAGGTATGTTCAGGCCTGGGATTGTGGCTCCACGGTGCAGTGCCCGCCTAGTAGGCGTGAGGGACTGGGTCTGACTGCCAGCCCCACAAAATAAAACAATGTACACAGAGTACAGTGTAATTCCCGATTGC